TTGAAAACACATCAAATTAAATATGCACAGTACCTTATGGGAATATTTACATTAGAATCACACAATTTATGTGGTTTCATTACGTTGCCCAAAACAGGAAAAGAATTAGTGATTAAATTTAATTGGGAAATACTGGTCTAAAATTATGCTATTCATTTCACTAAGTATTCGTTCAGCTTTGAAGTTTCTAAATTTCTTCATCTTCTGTATAGAAAACCTCTTTTATCTTTTTATAAATTTAAATGGCATCCGAATTTCATAACAGCTTGCCAGCTATTTCAGCATTTTAAATTGTAAGCATTATTTTACAATGATTGATAAACGATTTTTTATTTAAACAAAGGGTCTTGTTTTATGGAAACTTAAGGCAATAATTAAATATGAATACACGGATTTTTAATATTCAGTGCTTATTTCAGTGCCCTTTTCGTCTGTGTGGATAAAATACATTGTTTAAACGACAATAAACATTTGGGAAGAAATTATTATAATTAAATTTTAATACGGAATCTAGGCGTGGAGGCCATTTTAATTATCGTATTATGATTTTCTCAACAGCTTTTACACTTATTATCAGAATAAAAACAAAAGGAGATTAGAAAATAATAATGAATCAGCTACTTTATTAGAACGGGGATTAGCGGCATGCTAGAGATTTTAATTCAAAAAGAATGTGAAATGTACTTTCTATTCAAATTTTTCTGACATTCAGTTCAAGATAAATTCTGCGAATGCTGCGCTAAACAAATAAAAAACACTGCAGCTCTAGGAAACGGAAGATATTGTTAGCTGCTACAGAACTATAAATAAAGAGGCAAAAAAATTAAATACGTTTATTTTGCTTGCAGGATAAAACTCTTATAAGATATAGATTTTCACAGTCATTACTGAAAATGATAAAAAAATCATTTTTAACGGATAAATCAAAATCAATATTAATATGAATTTTTTGGAATTTAAAATATTGATTTAATTTTTAAAATATTTATATAAGCTAAAAAGCTCATATAATATTTAGCAAATATAGCGGTACCTTGATATACGATATTTTAACATTTTTACTTGTACGCGAGAACTAGATTACTGAAGAAGATAAAAAGCAAACAACAGTAATCATTTTAAATGAAGCTCCTAAAATCAGTAAATATACCCTATCAACTAAAATATTCAAAATCTTTAAAATGCACTTTTCCTCATGAACTGTTGTCATCAGAAATACCACATACGTATTATTATCAGGATCACTTACTACTACCATTACTACTTCACTCAGTTTTCTTTCCAATAAGAAGCAAATCCTCATAACTTTAATTTTCACAATCTGATTATTAATTAATATTAAAAATTAATAAAAATTAATATTCTAACATCAGACTATAGATGAAGAAAAACCACGTCAGAATATTGATCGAAAACATTTCATTTTATATTTAAAATTATTGTCAAACTTACGTTATTATTATTATTATTATTTTTTTCTTTACGTTCCAAGTTGGATTTCACATCTTTCATTTAAAACTTTTTAAAATATTTCTCGCATTTAAAAATTACCATATTAACGTGTCAAAGTTAAATTTATAACAAGAAATAAAAGAATGCCTAAAGATATTTCCCGTAATGAGACTGTACAAAGAAGTCATCCAAGGATCGTGTACGGAAATTAACATCAGCACAATCGAATTTTCAATTTCGTTATTAGTGATGATGTTAAATTTATAAAATTCCCACATTTGCTCCTTTCTGAATTAAATATATGTTTTTCGAATAATATTCGAGATAAATAAAATTTAAATCGGCACTGCAAACCTATATCAGTTAATTAATGAGGCACATCAATCAGAAAACTAAGCGCGGAGATTAATGATCCGTTACCTTTTTTTGATTGAGGCACATTACAAGACATTCAGTTCTGGGCGATACATTGCCCAGTTTAAAATAGAAAATATTATATATAATCTATCTTTACATCAAGTGCCTATGCTTGACTGTATGGTGCCTTGAGATAGCTATATACTTATTGCTATTTTACTAAAAATTCAGAAGCAGCGCATTAAACTTTACTCTGTGGTTATTTTAATAGTGCCACAAAATATTAAAATGTATTCTCAACTTTTTCTTTACACATTTGATATTATTATTATTACTCACCATATAAAAACTCCTAATGACGCGATACTCTTAACGACTCCTAATAAACGCAAAATTCATCGGAGGGTTTTTTTTTAACTTTAAATCGCAGTACTTGTGGCAAATACTTAACAATACTTGTCGCAAGTCCATAATAACGAAAACAGAAAAAATCGAAACAATTTTTTTAATCCTTTGCCTACAATTAAAAATTTAATAATTAGTTATATAATAATTAGTACATGTATTATTCACTGATAACTATAAAATAGTGAGTAATTAACTATAAATAACATGCAATTGCAACATCTTTCAAACTAAATACGAGGACATTTCTCACTTATTCGCTTAACAATCATTTAAACAAAGAAGGATAAGAAATAAGCCTGAATTTTTCGAACAATGCCAAATCAAAAAAAGCCAGAATTTTCACCACAAAACTACGTGTATAATGATTCCAAATATAAAGCAAACATAGCAATAATTTAAAATTATTACAATTCTTTCGGTTAAAAAATTTCATGTTTACTTCACTACACTGGAGACAATTGATATAAAATAAGCAAAGATTGATGAATGAACTAATGTCCAGACATTTGATTAATAATTTATGAAAATTAATAAAAAGAAAAAATACATTTGATTAATAATATATGAAAATGAATAAAAAGAAAATAATACATGTGATTAATTTAAAGCTTCTGAAAAATACTTAGACACACTTTAAAGCAAGAAATTAAAGCAATTATCAAAAAAATACATTAATCTACCATTATTTTTAAAACTCGAGGCATGGGAAATTCTGCAAAGATATTCTCTATAGTTTAATTAAAACGGAGGTCCCCCTCCCATATGACGGGCACCAGCCGTTATAGGCGTTGCACTACTAAGGCCAGAAATGATGCTCACTTTATTATATGGAGGCACCTAAGGTGGGCCACCGTTTCTTCTATGAAAGGAAGGGCAATTTATACCGATGCCTTCTTTCCGGATTCAAACCTGGGCCCTTCGGTTTGGCAATCAGAGTCACTAACCACTTTCACTTTCCCGTGTGGGCGGCAAACACAAAAGGTATTAATGTTAAAAAAAAAGGCGGTATAGACTTCTTTAATCGTTTAGAGACAAAAAAAAAAAAAAAAAAAAAGTAGGATTTACGCAGAAACAAAAGCGCGGTATATTTCTTTATTTCGATAATTGTTTGAAAAAATAAATTGACGTTATACATAATGCATCTTCACGTACTAGACTTTCCTTAATAAGTCCTATACAGATAACAGCATTTTTTACACGGAAACGGAAGAAGCGTTAAAAAAGAAAATTCAAATTACCAAATTTTTGGTACGTAAATCGGCAAGACTTAAATGTTTTCAAAAAGAATAAATCTTGTAGAGACATTAGGATTTTTTGGAAGCCGGAGAGATGAAAAATTAGCAACCGCCTTCGCCGGGAATCGAACCACGGGCCTCTGGGATACCGGCCCAGCGTGCAGAACCACTGCACCACGAAAGCACGCTAGGAATGTGGGAGAAATACCTTATATACTCCCCTTTTTAAAGGGCGACTGGGGTTTCTTGGGGACCCAATCGCCAAATCCTGGGGTGTAGAGAAACCTCATCCAACACTCTTTTAGTTCGGCGCCAATGTAGAGACATTAAGTTAATTGAAAAAGCCGGAGAGATGAAAAATTAGCAATCGCTTTCGCCGGGAATCGAACCACGGACCTCTGAAATACCGCCTCAGTGTACAGAACCACTACACCACGAAGGCACGCTAGGAAAGCGGGAGAAATGCCTTATAATCTATTAGAACACACAAGATTAAGAAGACAGAAAAGAATGAATACATAGAATACTGAGGTCCAGAATTACATACGCTAAATTTTGATACGGAAATAAATGAATGAATAAATTTAAAATTTACAAGTATTTTAAGAATATCAAAGCCTAAAGCAATGCACAGACCTGTGATGGCGAATTCTTTAGCCTCAGCATGTCAAAAGTAAGTTAATCTGAATCTGTTGGAATGCCACTCCCCCCTCCAATAAAAGAAGAACGAATCCATACATATATTTTATCAAAAATAAGTACTCTAATCATGTCTGGTGTTATGCATTATATACCGAACCGTCAACTAATAAACAAACTCAGATATGCGTAAAACAGCTACAATGAAGAATATAAAGAAATATTAACAAAACAGCCTCATATAGCACATTAATTTAAAAAAACAGGGAAATTGCAACTATGCAAAAGTATAAGAAGAAAAATTTTAAATAATCTGTGATCTACTATAGAAGAAATGATATAAAATTCATCAGCTGTGATAAATATAGGGCACTAAAAATTAATGTACTTTTAACAGTAATTTTGAATCGAAATGAAAAACCAAAAGTGGAACACACTGCATTTAATTTAGTTGACTTAAAATTATTTTAAAAATAGGATAAGTTAATGAATAAACCAGAAATTTAAATTAGATGTGTCGCAGCATTAATTTCAACTGTCATTCCATTTCTTTTAACTGTTTTTATATTGTTTAATGTCAAGAACAGACACTGAAAAAGTGAGTGCACATGAAAATATTATAAGCCAGTATTAAATTTTTAAGAGCTATAAGAAAAATATTGCTCAGTTGGCACAAAATAATGATAATAAAATAATTCAATGCAGTTCTAATTTACACAGATGTAGATGTTTATTCAAAGTTAAGGAGGGATGACAATTCCCAAGTATTAGCTGCGTATCACTATTGACATGCATGTTCTAGGTTCGCCACCACTGAAATATACTACATTCTAGTAATAAGAAGTAAGGTTGAAATTTAAATAATGATAATAATAGTAGTAATAATGTGTTCACAAAACCAATACTAACCTATACAACCGTATTCTCAGAGTAGCTACAGTAGAGAGTTCACCAAGTATATCTCCTACAGTGGCTTCGGGTGATTCAGTAATTTGATCGAATGTGAGAGGTTTCCAGTTTTTCAACTGAATAGCACCTGGAAATAATAAATACTCGTATATATTATCCATGCACCCTTTTTCAAAAAATATTACTGAGTTAAAAAGAAAATGGAACAAGTTACAAAAGTATTTTTAAATGTTTAAAAGGTTAATCAAAATGAATTTTTAAAAAGGTAACAAACACTATATTGCCAATAATACTGTACACCTACAGGAAAATATTTGAACCGTCAATAATGTCAGTACAGTGTCATGTTATACAGCCAAAAATTCACCGGAAACTTTGGATTTTAGAATTTTTTTTCGAATTTCTAAAGAAATGCTGGATGAAGGGCAAGGCAACTGTCGCCATAATAAATAATATACTTGAATTCGCCCTTTCCCAATAAAATTCAGCCACGAGTTCATTTAAGGGGTCAGCAACAAAATGATTAAGGAAAAGAGATATTTTTAATCACCATGTATCATAAAACAATGATGCATTGACCCACAACTTTCATAAAATATTTTAAATTCTATGTGCAAGGTTCATAGGTTCAGTGCAAGGTTCAATATGCATTTTCGTAAAAATGATACACAATAACAAAGATATAACGGTTTCTTTAAAAAAATCCAGTTTTTTTTACATGCATTTTGCTAATAACATACAGAGTTTCCTACCAAATTTCACGAAACTTATAGAAAACGTGGCAGCATTTTAGAGAAACATTGAACTAAAAAGTTTGAAAGAACAGTCATGATACGGTGAGTTACTTTGGTTTATTTGACTACGGCAAAGCACTCGAAGGTTACCTGCCTAAGGGGAGATATGCCTTCATGGATGACTTTCTAAGAGAAACTGGCTCATATATACGTTACTTATGGAGAAAGCCACAAAAGCGCACATGCAGCCAGCCTTTTAGCGGGATTCAAACCTCGGACCGAATTGCCAGTGTTCAGTGACTTTACCGCTCGGCCGTTGGTGGACCCTGAAGATACGATGGGATCCAAGTATTTAAGAAAAAGAATATTTAACTGCACCTGAGCGAGCTATGTCAACTTTTTACTTTCATAATTGGTAGCCAATACACACGGAAGCAAATAAAAATTACAGGTAAATATCGTGCAAATTCAGAAATATATTGACGATATAGTGAGCTGTATTATATATATATTTTCCCATTTTTCTCATCATCTTATTCTTTTATGGGATTAACTGCACATTTCTTAATGAAACAGACTTCACGAGAACAACTTGCAAACAATTTATTATTTAAAAAAAATAAAATTAAGGCTTTGGAAGCATCGCAGAGATTGCCATTTAATTGACAGTTTTAGATTAAAAGCTACCATAGCATTAATAAACCACGCTGACTGACAAATTGCATTTACCAGCCTTGAGACAGAAGATTTTTAATATATCTTTGAAATTATAACAGCACATTTCACATATCTGTGTAACAACAGAAGCAATTAAAAAGTATACATACTTCAAAATTTTTTATCTTTTTTCTTCAAATTTTAATACCTGTTTGATTTAATATATAAAATATTGTAATATACCTCAGTGATAATTTATATAAACATTTATTCCATTAAAGAGTAACAAAAGGTATTTTTCTAACAATATGTATAACAAAAGTTCTAATAAAATTATTTTTACTGTAATTTTCAAAAATTTTCAACAATGTGTGCTTTATTAAAAGCTTTCTCTCAGCTGATTTAATGTTAAAGAAGATTTTTTAATTTCATATCTGAAGTAAATCTTAAAAAAGTGTAAAGTATTTGTCATTACTTTTAATAATCAAATAACTGAAGCTTAGGTTTTTCAGTTTATTTTTCAACTTTCATCATCCTATGATAAAACCACGTACCTCTACAAACATTTACTGAAAATACATCCAAAACTACACAAAAGAATTCTAACGACAGTTGCTGAAAAAATAAGTAAATAAATAAAAATAAAACTTTTGCGAAATGTAAACGCACATTTAAGAACATTTTGAGAAATACATTTTTATACTTACAAAAGATTTGCACATAATTTACACTGAATATGAAAGATATACAATAATTACCTATTTGTTCTGAAAAGGTTGAAAGTATTTGATCTCTTTACCAAAGCCAATCTGCAGGCTATATTCTCTAAAACATCTTAACTATTATCTTATTAGCATAGTCTAGCTAACCCTCTTCTTTTTAAGTAATTTCTTAACTTTCCGCTATCCCGATATGTTCAAGAATAAGTTACGTATATAGTTCTAAGGTAAAATGATGAAACGTGAAGTGAAAGAATGGATGCATTAGAGAAAAAGAGCCATTCAAAATTATTATTTTATTGCGCCTGCTAGTTTTATGTTTAAGCCAATTACAGTGGATTTACGGCTGTGTCGAGGATGGTTTACAAGTTCTTAAATTCGCACAAGAAGAAGATGAATTTTCTTTCTTTCTTTGAGCTATTTAACAATTCCATGTCTCTTACGAATATGAAGGGAAGGCAACTGCCATATTTAGAAATGAAGGAACATAAGCCTCAGAATAGAATGATCGAGGATTGGAGACTCTCTCAAAATACAGACACATAATTTTTTACGTTTAGTCAAATTGCAACAGATCTTCAGCTTGGAAGTCAGAGTCATTAAAGAATTGTTTGTTTAATTAAGATACAATAACACGCCGAACAAATATTAATTTAGAAGTCAAGCAGCAAAATTCAGCGTTATATTTTCAAATTATTTCACAGGACTAGTTTCGATGGTTTTATCGAATCATCATCCTCAGCTGCAAAAGCGCAAATGAACGAGATAAGATATAATAATTAGATAAGATAAGAAAGCCTGGACAGGAGATAAGCTACTGGCGCCATCTGTTGATGAAACCAGAACTAAAACATAATTTCTTTAAAGGCTGAAGGCAAAGATGAATTGGAATTAGAGTCGTTAACTAGAACAGAAATATTTTTTTGAATGTGAAATACCTCTACAAAATCCAGTTCACCAATGGAAGATGTTTTTTGAATAATTTTGGTAGCAGAAAAATTGAAAGTGTGATTTTCGGACCAACAATGTTGGGCAACAGAAGACTTCTGTGTTTCTTTTTTCTAACATATGCCTCATGTTCCTTAACGCGAAATTTTAAGGCTCTCTTAGTTTGGGCAATGTAAATTAAACCACACTGGCAAGGAATCCTGTAAATACCCCAGGAATTCATATCCGGACTGTAAGTACTGTAAAGACCCTTATTTTCGCGGGCTGTAATTTAATTTCGCGGCCTGAAATTTAATTTCGCGAGCTGTAATTGATAATGGAGTTTGGAATTTTATTGATGGAAGAATAAACGACCCGAAAGTTAAATTTCTGCAAAATACGTGCAACTTTTTATAGTTAATTGATGGAAAGAAGGGAATGACAACAGAATTTTTATAATCTCATAAAACAACAGTTTGCTTTTTGGTTATTGAGATGAGAATTTTTTTAACTGCTTGATTAATAATGTTGGGTGAAAAGCCCTGCCAATAGATATTGCTTTTATATAATTTAGTTCTTCATCAAGGGATAGTTTGGAGGAGCAAACTTGAAGAGCACGGAAAATATAGGAATAAAATGAAGCTAACTTTTGCTTAGTCGGATGATATGATTTGAAGTGTGGTGGAAGGTAAACCGTAGTACTGGAGTTGGATGTGTTACCTGTGACCAGAATGTCGAGAAACGGAAGACAATTGCAAGTCTCAAGTTCAAAAGTGAACTGAATAGCAGGATCAATGGAATTCATTGTCGAAAGAACTTTATTTAAATCATCTTTATTACCTTCAAACAGGGTAAAAGTATCGTCTACGTAGCGGAACCATACCGAGAAGTTTAAAGTTTCAAAAAATTTTGATTCATAATAATGCATGTAGATATCAGCCAGGATGGGACTGAGGAGGCTTCCCATGGCTAATCCCTCAGTTTGCTTGCATATTTTGACAGTTTGCTTGCAATATTTATTTTGAAAACAAAATGCGTTTGTTTCAAACAGAGTTGAGTGAGAGAAATTAGCTCATCAATTTCGATGCAAGAGAAATGAAATTCGCGAAGTCTGGTTTCTAGACATCTTAACACACCCTCCACTGGAACATTGGTGAATAATGATTTTACATCAAAAGAAACCATGAGTAAATTTCTAGAAGAAATGTGTTTAACCTTTTTTACAAACTCTTTCAATTTTTTATGGTGTAAATGTTATTGTCTAATGGAGTTGAAAGTCTAGAAACTAAATATTTAGCTAAAGGATACGAGGTAGTACTTAAATTTGATACAATAGGGCGGAAATGAATACCACTTTTATGAATTTTGGGAAGAGCATAGAATCTCGCACAATTCGCAACAGATGGGATAAGCGAATGTTTTAAGTTGCTTTAAAAGATTTGTGAAGATCTCATAGCAGTTTTTATTTTTGACAGGTCCGAAGGTGAAGGATCTTTAGGGATCGGATTAAATGGTCCTTCGTTTAACCTTCCAGCACGCGCGCATGCACAAAATTTATGACAAATTCAGTTTTTAATGCACATTTTTCGCATATCGAAGCTGAGACGTCTGAAGGTCATTTCTATTCCTCCTTTCTACCCTTCCCCACATCATGGAATGTGCCAATAGGAAGTCATTTGACTTTTTTTTTTTAACTGGGCTTTTGTGTTACGTGGCAGCTTTTTCATAAAAGTTACGACACGCGCAGGATGGTGTTTTAAAATTCGGAAAATATTTGTTTTCTCAAATATTTTGTAATTTTGTGTTATTAATTGCCGTGTTTTATTTTAGTTTGAATACATTTGGCTCTGTAAAGTTTATATCAGTTTTTATAGCAAAAAAATATGTGCAACCAGCTGATGCTCCTCGGATTCTTCAAGAATTATCTGATGAAGAAAAGGAAGACAAGGAAACTTTTGGATGGGAAACAAATAGTGATTTCCATTCCTTATTTTCTTTTATCTCTATTTTTTATAAATAAATAAAAACATTAAAGTTAGTTTAATGTGCGTTTTTGCAACCAGTAAGAAGTAAATTTCCTTGTAGAAGGT